CACCACCATGCCTGCGCTAATTTTAATTTTTTGTATAGATGGGGGTCTCGCTGTGTTGCCCTTAGGCGGTCTTGAACTCCTGCTCGAAGAAAACCTCCGCCAGGGGGTCTCCATCAAGGAAGGAGCGGTGGTGGAGAGCCCCTAGGGAACAGAAACTCCTGAGACAGCCTCCTTAGTGTGGGAAGAACGCCAAGGTCCATAACACAGGATTGATGCCTTCTGATGTAGAGGGATGCCTGAGATAACCGCTGGAGAAGAGAGGCTGGAGGCTGCAGATAGCCCCTTTAGGAGATCATAGAAACACAGTTACCTAGTGAAGTACCCTGGAAGAAAACCACTCATGTGAGGAGACTCATGAAATAACTTACGTGGAGACCCCTGATGTAGACTCCCCCACTAAATATATAGCAAGACCTCTGAGATACTGACTTGGGAACAAATAGCTCAGATACCCCAGTCGAAGGAGAACATCACTGAGGTAGCCCTCAGGGAAGAGAGACCCTGGAGACGGCGTGTCTGGTGTGGAAGAGCTCTGAGATAGCCCCTCAGAGGAGAGTCCAGAGATATCCCTCTGAAACAGGAAGACGTTCTTTTTTTTTTTTTTTTTTTAAGACAGAATCTCACTCTATTGCCCAGGCTGGAGTGCAGTGGCGTGATCTTAGCTCACTGCAACCTCTACCTCCAAGGTTCAAGTGATTCTCCTGTCTCAGCCTTCTGAGTAGCTGGGATTACAGGTCCATGCCACCACGCCCAACTAATTTTTTTATTTTTAGTAGAGATGAGGTTTCGCCATGTTGGCCAGGCTGGTCTCAAACTCCTGACCTCAGGTGATCTGCCCGCCTCAGCCTCCCAAAGTGCTGGGAATTACAGGCGTGAGCCACGGGGCCCAGCCAATATGGGAAGACTTCCACAACACTTTGGTGTGGGTTGATTACTCAAAAGGCCCCTGACATAACCCCTAATACCAGCACAGCCTTACTTCTTGGCAATGTTGAGCATCTTCAGTTTCTTCTTCATGCGTGGCCGGGAAGTGGCGGAGACAGAGGTATCCACGAGGGAGGACGTGGATTGTGACACCTGGAAGAATGAAGGCGGGATGGGTCAGTTGCTAATTCAGACCCTGGGGGAGAGGCAGACGGATCCAGGGGGTCTCCATCAAGGAAGGAGCGGTGGTGGAGCCTAAGACGTGTAAATAGGGAAGGGGCGCGGCCTCTGTGTGGTCAGGGCAGAGCCCAGGGGTCACGGACTCACCTTCCGCATAATCTTCCGGCCATAGAACAGCACTTTGTCCCTCTTCCGGAACCGATACCGGGGGCCATCCGGGGCTGGGGTTTCTGGGGATAGGTGGGGACAGGGGCACTCCGAGCTCTGTGCAGACTCCACCCTGCTAGAGCTGGGGTACCGCGAACAGACGCCAGCAAATCCCCATCTCTGCCGCCTCGGGACCCGGGCATTTGGGCTCCCCCACCACACAGCCTCCCAAGAGGGGCCCCTCGGGTGCTCACTTGGCACTCGCAGCCTCCGCACCACCAGGAGGATGAGCACGGCCGTGACCACCACCGCCACTCCGGCCCCGATCATCACGCCCAGCACCTGAGGGACAAACGGCACTGGCTGCGCACCGCAAATCCGTCCAGCCGAGACTTCCCCAGGCTCCGGGACGTCCTGGAACCCATCCCTCTCCCCCACCTTCGCCCCCGAGGAGTTAGTAGCCAGCCCGTGACTCGATGTCCCCATCTGCAGAATGGGCCGGTGCTGCTCCCTCCCCGGGGGCGCGACTCTTCCCTGAGGCCCGGCGGCCCGCAGTGCATGCCGGGAAACGTAGTTCCGCCCAAGCGGACGCAGCGTGTTCTCGCCAGATCATGTAATGCGCGCTGAGCACGCCGGAAGTTGTAGTCCCCGTGGCGCCCCACGCCCGCGCCTACCCGGTCCCCGCCCCACCCCTTACCATTCCAGTTTGCAGCGGAGCCTCCATCGGTTGATTCCAGCTGAACTGCCGATCTGGTAGCCCGTAGTCCTGGGAAATCAAGGAGTCGAAGGAACCCGTGCAAGTCGTCAATCTGGGCCCGCCCCTCCCCTGCATCAAGCCCTGCCCCCAGCTTAAGCCCCGCCCCCGGGGGGGTGAAGCGTCTCCACCTGCCAGGGGCGCGGCTAGAGGGGCTCTGCGGGACTAAGGAATGGAGCAAACGGACCTCCCGGCCCAGGCCAGGAGGTGAGGCGAGTCCCCGGCTCCCTTCGCCTACGCGTAGGGCCTACCAGACGCTCCGCCCGTCCAACCCCACCCCGGGGCCAAAGGCCGACCTGGCACCGACTGTCAGCAGCCTGAAGGCAGGTCCCCGCTGGGCACGGTCCCCTGCACCTGGTGACTTCCTCCCGGGTCACTGCCCTCTGCGGGACTGATCAAGCCTGATCACCCGACCCTCCAGGCCGCACTCCCTACTCGGTCGAACACTGAATGCCCCACCCCAGGAAAACTGGGGCCCGCAAGCCGTGGGGTCCGGGGGTGGGGACCTAGATACCCAGCTCCCGACCCAAGCCTGCCCCCGGGAAGACCCAGGAGCTGGGAGGCACGGGACTACTGTCGGGGCATCCGCAAAGGCGTCTGATACCCACGTTTCAGAAGAGTCCTGGGATGCTTGGTGTGGTGTGGGCTTGCAAGGCGCTGCTGGTTTTTGCCAGGGATTTACTATCACGTAGTAGTGAAGTTATGGGGGCTCTATGGCACGGAGCGTCACTGGGACTCCGGGACCGATGGTGGCGCCATTGCTGGGAGGCGTAACCAGAGACGCTGGAATTAGTGGGTGGGGATGGGGGGTCACTGGAAAGTTACTGAGAGATTCTGAGGATTACAGTACTACTGCTGGGAAAACCAGGAGGTGGGTGGGCACATTCCTGGGGTGCTATGAGAGCGGGCCTGGGGAGGGCGTGCGGGCTCCTTGGAAGATACTGAGAGATGCTGGAACATTACTGGGATTTTTCTGGGAAGCTGAGGATGTTTCTGACACCGCTAGAGTATTAATGGGAATTCGGGGGCCGGGGGGTAGGAATCTCGGAGCCTGCGAGTCGTTACTTGGAAAATTCCTGGGTGGCCTGTCCTCTTTCACCCCAGGGCACACCTGGCTACCGGTGCAGAAACACCTGCCGGGACGTGGGGGGATGGGAACATCAGAAAGTCTAGAGTTAACAGAAATCGGAGGACAGATGTGGGAAAGCGGAGGCTCGCCAATGACCCTCGAAGGGACACCCCTGCGAGGCCAACGGAAACTCGGACTCACCCAGGGGCGGCAGCCGGGGTCCACTCCGCGCCAACACCGCTAGCGTTCCGCCCGGCTCCGCAGGCGCGGTCCCTTTAAATGATTCACTACAAGGCGCACAGCGGTCCCGCCCCGCCCTCCCCCTCCCCATCCGTGCCACACTTGGAAGGCCGACTGAGGCCGCCATGCTGAGTGCGGCTGAATGAGGCCTTAAAGGGCCTCACACGGCTTAACGCAAGGACTGCTCCTCCCGCTAAAAATGAGAACGACACATTTATTTTCCCTTTTATTCAACACCCTCCCCACCCTGTCTCCCCGCCCCCAAAGGTCCGACACGAAAGGTCCAGGCCCTCCTCGGGCGCGACAGGGAGCCGATCCTTAAAAGCAAACCCTAAAAATAAATAAGCGGGGTGGGGGGCGGGGGTCTCCGCAGTCCAAGGCCTATGGTCCAATGGCAGTCAGGTCGAATCAATTCACCAGCAGCGAATGCTCCTCCGAGGGGTCCCTGGAGGAGGGAAGCAGGGATGAGGGGCGTCAGTTTTCTCTGGCTTGCTCCCCTTTCCCCAGTCCCTAACCCCCAATCTGAATGGGCCAGACTCGGGACTCGAACCTTCCGCAGCAGCAGAGAAGGCTGCAGGCTGAGCCGCTCCCGCGGCGGAACTTGCCAGAGGTGGGGCTGTCCTGGCACTGTGCGATGTAGGCCTGCAGCTCGCTCTCCTCTGCGCCTGCGCCGCCAGGATGCTGGGGAGAGAAGCTGGGAGGCTCAGCCTGAAAGTGGCTCCCCACCTCCAAGGCCCTTGAAGTCCGCCCTCCCCTCCAGCCATATCTGCATCGCTTCCCACCTCCAGGCCTTTGCACTTGCTGTGCCTGCTCCACCTGTTGTTCCATAGTTTGCTTGCACAGAGAGACCTTCCCTGACCCCTGAACGTGGATGCAAGCTGTGTCTTTGCCAGTCTGGTGCCCTCTGCTGTGCGCCCAGCAGCTGGAGACCTAGAGCCAGGGCTGACACGACCTCGGTGGTCAGAAACCATCTATTGAGAGAGCTGGATGCACACTAAGCACAGCCGTGGGAGCAGGACCTGAATCTGCCCACCAGAGTGGATGCCTGTGTGTGATGTCTATGTGCTAAGGCAAGACAGGAAGTAGCTCCAAGGGCCTGAGTGGATGTCTGTGGGACAGCTGAATCCATGCCTGGGAAAAGGGGGTGTACCCATCTGCTGGTGACATTGGATGTGGCAGGGGACCAGCCAAGGTTTCCTTCCTCTCACTCAGCCTCATGGAGGGACCATCTTTTCTCCAAGTTTTTTCAGGCTACTAGACCTTTGCTTTAGCTATTCCTTCCCCCTGGGTGCACTGCCCCTGGGCTCCCAACTCTTTGGTCTAGAGACGATGGAAGTGTTCAATAGCTATGCTGTCCAATATGGCAGCCACCAGCCACACTGGCTTTTGAGGACTGGATACACGATGGTGCGAGTCAGGGGCTGAATTTACAATTGTGCTTCATTTGAATTAAAATTTTTTAAAAATTGTTTTGTTTTGTTTTCGAAGCAGAGTCTCGCTCTGTCACCCAGGATGGAGTGCAGTGACTTGATCTCGGCTCACTGCAACCTCTACGTCCCGGGTTCAGGCAATTCTACTGCCTCAACCTTGGGAGTAACTGGGATTACAGGTGTGTGCCACCACGTCCGGCTAATTTTTTGTTATTTTTAGTAGAGATGGGGTTTTGCCATGTTGGCCAGGCTGGTCTTGAACTCCTGACCTCAGGTGATTCACCCCCCTCTCGGCCTCCCAAAGGGCTGGGATTACAGGCTTGAGTCACCGTGCCCAGCCGGAATTAAAATCAAAATTTAAATAGCTGCATGGGGCTAGAGACTAGTGATGGATAGAACATTCGAGAAGGTCTCCTGGACCCGCTCTCATACCAATCTAAAGCAGGAGTCCCTCTGTAACCTTCCACTCTTCCATCATACCTGTTACAAGTAGGTCACTGGTCATGGGATGTCTGTTCCTGTGCCATCCTTGCCCACAGGCCTTGGACAGATCATGCACACCTGATTTTCCTCGATGCCCAGAACCCAGCACAGATCTTGGCCCTTGGATATATTTGCTGAAAGAATCCTGTCTACCTGCCACTTCCGCATCCTGCTGTGTCCCCTGACCGTTGCAGCTTACAAGGAAACCACTGTTCCCAGCCACCCTACTAAACAGAGGACAGAGGGGTTAGGAGCATGGCTTCTGGAATCAGACAGTCCTGGGTTGAGCCCATTTTTACTGCTTAGAAGCTAACCTGGGCCAGGCACGGTGGCTCACGCCTGTAATCCTAGCACTTTGGGAGGCTGAGGGGGGTGGATCATCTGAGGTCAGCAGTTTGAGACCAGCCTGGCCAATATGGCAAAACCCCATCTCTACTAAAAATACAAAAATTAGCCAGGCATGGTGGCGGGCGCCTATGATCCCAGCTACTCAGGAGGCTGAGGCAGCAGAATTGCTTGAACCGGGGAGGCAGAGGTTGCAGTGAGCTGAGACTGCATCATTGCATTCCAGCCTGGGCAACAGAGTGAGACTCCATCTCAAAATAAATAAATACATAAAGAAGCTAACCTTGGGCGGGGTCAGAGGGAGTCAGGGGCATGGCTGGGGGCTGGGGTCAGGGTGGGGGTTTTAGAGGTCAGCCATAGGAATGGGGCCAACTGAGGGTCACCATGTTAATAGCAAGGTCCCAGGGTCAATGACAAGGTCATTGAAATGCTATGACTTAGCCGGGTGCAGTGGCTCATGCCTGTAATCCCAGCACCTTGGGAGGCCAAGGCAGGTGGATCACCTGAGGTCAGGAGCTCGAGACCAGCCTGGCCAACGTGGTGAAACCCCATCTCTAGTAAAGATACAAAAATTAACCAGGTGTGGTGGCATGTGCAAGTAATCCCAGCTACTCAGGAGGCTAAGGCACGAGAATTGCTTGAACTCAGGAGGCGGGGTTGCAGGGAGCCGAGTTCATGCCATTGCACTCCAGCCTGGGCCACAGAGTAAGATTCCATCTCAAAAAAAAAAAAAAAAAAAATTGGCTGGGTGTGGTGGCTTATGCCGGTAATCCCAGCGTTTTGGGAGGCTGAAGTGGGAGGATCGCTTGACCTCAGGAGTTTGAAACCAGCCTGAGTAACATAGTGAGACCCTTATCTCTAATAAAATAAAGAATAATACATTAATAATAAAATAAAATAGGCCGGGCATGGTGGCTTATGCCTGTAATCCCAGCACTTCGGAGGCAGTAGATCACCTGAGGTCAGGAGTTTGAGACCAGCCTGACCAATATGGTGAAATCCCATCTCTACTAAAAATATAAAAATTGGCCGGGCACGGTGGCTCAAGCCTGTAATCCCAGCACTTTGGGAGGCCGAGGTGGGTGGATCACGAGGTCAGGAGATAGAGACCATCCTGGCTAACATGGTGAAAACCCGCCTCTACTAAAAATACAAAAAACTAGCTGGGCGTGGTGGCGGGCGCCTGTAGTCCCACAGCTACTCGGGGGGCTGAGGCAGGAGAATGGCATGAGCCTGGGCGGCGGAGCTGGCAGTGAGCTGAGATCGCACCACTGCACTCTACCCTGGGTGACAGAGCGAGACTCCGTCTCAAATAAACAAATAAATAAACTCTATGACTCGGTTGCCCTGTTGGTAAAGGCAGACTCAGGCCCCCTCCTGGCCCAAGCCCGCCTTGACAATGCTGAGATGCCATCAGCTCCCCCTGCGCTCCCAAATTCCGAACCACCCTCTTTGGTTTCATAGAGTCTCCCATATTCTCTCCTGGGGTCTTCTCTGCTCACCCCGCGGTGTCCCCAAGACGCCCTCATGGCAAACTCCAGGGGACCCAGAGCCTGAGCTGGGGGCTGGGCGCGTGCGGCTAACCTTGATGGTGTCGTAGGCACCGGTGATGAGCGCGATGAAGAGGCTGAGCACCATGTAGATGAAGAGGCTGATGAAGGAGTACAGGTAGAGCTGGGAGAAGAGCCACACCAGGCTGCTGCGGCCCTGCTGAGCCTGCATGGCGGCGAACGTCACGAACATGTCGTCCCCGTTGATGAGTGAGAACAGGCACTCGGACACCATGGAGAGCGAGCGGAACTGTCAGAAGGGCGGCGGGGTCAGAGGGAGCCAAGGCATGGCCAGGAGCCGGGGGCTGGGGTCAGGCTGGGGTCCCATGTGAATGGCCAGGAGCTGGGGGCTGGGGTCAGGCTGGGATCCCACGTGAATGGCCGAGTCCCAGGCTGGGGTCACCTTGTGAGTGGCTGGGTCCCAGGCTGGGGTCACCATGTGAATGGCCATGTCCCAGGCTGGGGTCACTAAGTGAATGGCCACGTCCCAGGCCAGGGTCCCATGTGAATAGCCAGGTCCCAGGCTGGGGTCACCATGTGAATGGCCAGGTCCCAAGGTCAATGACAGGGACACAGGGCCGACCTAGGGTCTGGGTAGATACAGCAGAAGGGGAGTAATCCAGGTCAAACTAGGGTCATGAGCAACTGTGACACAGGGTCAGTGTCAGGGTCACCAAGGACCACAGGGGACAGTGGACAGACTCCCAGCAGTCACCGAGGGGTCATCTGGGGGTCACAGTGGCAATGACAAGGTCACGGGGTCGATGTCAGGGACATCAGGGGTTAGACGTACCTTCACATGATAGGGTCCCAGCACGATCCAGCCACAGAAGCAGTAGCCCAGGTAGATGACGGCGACGCAGCAGCAGAAGCGCATGACGCTGGGCAGGGCCACCCGCAGTGTGGCGATGAGGATCTGGGTTGGGGCAGAGGGAGCCTTGTTGAGGGTGTGGTCACAACTCAGGTCAGCTGTGGGCACCCAGATGGGGGTGAGAGGGGCAGGGCCTTGCCGAGGGCACAGCAGGTGTGGCCATGGGAGCCAGTGGGTGCCTAGAGGGGTCGTGGCCGTGTCTGAGGGGGTCTGAGGGCACCGCATGGCTGGACTCAGCAGGGTGGGCACACAGGAGCAGGCTCCCGGGGCCCCGCCCAGGTACAGCGACAGATATATCTGGTGTAGGCAGGTATGAGGCGGCGGCTTGCAAGCGGTCATTGGTCGGGGCTGGTGAGTGCTGGCTGTGTAGGGATTTATTTGGAGGGTGTGGGGTAACCATGCGGAAGGCCCAGCCACGTGCGAAAAGCTCACGTTGTAGTTGTGGAAGAAGGTCAGGTAGCGGATCACGCCCACCCACACCAGCAGCGTCGAGGTGCCCAGGAGGATGCTGCAGACGTCGTAGCTCGCCAAGTTCTGCGGGTGGGAGCTGCATCAACCTACCTGGCCCAGCCCTTCCTTTGGAGGGCCTGGGGGAGGATATAGCCCTGGATAGGCACTGACAGCAGGGATGGGACCTGGGGCCCAGGGTGTGGGCAGGACGTACCTTGGCCTCGATGCCAATCTTCATGATGGTGCCCGAGATGGTGAGCACATCGCTGGTGACCAGCAGGATGTACCAGCCATTGACAAATTCCAGCCGCTCCCACAGGCTGATGACCCGTCTCCGCTGCCGCCACATGAACCCCACAAACTCCTGCAGAAGGCAGGTGGGGTGAGCGCCTGACCAGGCACAGGTCCCTCGAAGCCCTGGCTTTTATCGCCCCAGGGCAAGGCGGGGAGGACACCGGCACACGTGACGCAGGAGCCTCACGTTCTGCAGCAGGAAGCCTCGAAGGAGCGAGCGGGCGCAGAGGAGGAAGGACAGGGAGCAAGTGAGGATGACCACCACGTCGAACAGGAGCCGGAAGCTGTTGTCTCCTGTGGGGAGGGCACAGCGGGTAGGGCCAAGGGTAGCATGGAGCCTTGGGAGGCCAGCGCTGGTGCCAGGCCAGGCTGGAGACCTAGGGGGCTGCACGGCTGGTTTTGGTTGGTCAGTGGGGCTCAGGGCTTGCTTGGGGTGAGTCAAGAACCCCGGTTAGCGCTGGTCTGGGGCTTGGAGGATCCCAGGACAGGACAGGGTCCCTGATCTGTGCTGATCTGAGGCTCAGCGGATTCCTAGGGAGGTCAGGGCCCCAGGCAGCGCTGCTCTGGGGCTTGGGGAATCCCAGGACAGGCCAGGGCCCCTGGTCAGCGCTGGTCTGGGGCTCAGGGGCTCACCGTGCCGGAAGACACTGGGGTGCTTACACTCCTGGATGTGGGCCTGGGTCTCCAGGCTGATGGGGATCCGCCCACTGTGTGCTTTGTTGTCAAACGTGATCTGTGGGGGCCAGTTGGGGGCAGAGTAAACCTTGGCAGCCCCAAGCCCCAAGGTCCACATGACAGGTGGCCTGACAGACCCCGGGCTCCCTCCCTCATCACCCACACGCTTGCCCTTGGCCAATGCTTCCAAGACACTCCCTGACCAGGTCCCTGCCCTGGAACTCAGGAGCCCTGTGGGTCCCTGGGGGGCCTCACCAGGACGCTGAAGGTATAGCAGTCCGGGATCTCATTATTGATGAGGCTCTGGAGGTTAATGGTCTTCAGTCGGAAGTGGATGGTGACATTGACCAGCCTAGGCAGGAGGCTCGGGTGAGGGGCAGGGGCGTCTTCGGGTCCTTTCCGGCCCCAAGTGCCAGCGCCCCTGCCACGTGCTGACTCTGCAGCTGGTAGGGGAAGTGCTCACCCAGCAGGTGCCAGCGCAGGCGGGGGGCCCTGTCCCACCTTAGGGAAGTAGCTACTGGGGTGAGAGTGCCTAGTGTGCTGCCTCCCCCACCC